TTAGAAACTTAGCAATGCTTTCTAACTTGTTCAATAAAGTGAATGATGATGAAAGAGGTGTTGATTCATTTGGTTGTAATCTTCATAAAGTAGATCCACCGACTTTTATTCCACTTGGTGCAATTCAAATCATCACTAATCAAGTAGAAAACATTAACGATGATAATAGTGAGAATGATTATGATGAAATTTCATTTTCTACTATGACAGCTGCCCGAAACGAATATGCTGGATCACATAATTCCATATCTCCACAGCATTCTGATAGTAGGCTTAATATATACAGTGATAATGAAGAAACTGAGAACAGTGGGATTATTCCTTCATTATCATCACCAATGTTACTTCCAATACCATTTTCGAGAAATCATGGAAAAAGAATGTCCGAGCACATTCAATTAGTTAATGTACCTGTTTCAATCGCCAAAAGAAGAGAATCATTTGCAGAAATGTTTGATGCAGATTATAAAGGGCCACAAGTAGAAGAAATTGATGCTATTCCACTTAAATCACTCCGAGAACAAATTCCAGATAGACAACAAAGTAACACATTGGAAAGAATTGAAGAATATATTAAACCACTGGAAGAAATTCAGCCTACACGATATGTTCGAACCAATTCACTTCCGTTAGTTCCACCATCAACAAGTCGATCAATGCCAAATATTCCAATCTATTTAATGTCACTTTATAGTACTCTATGTCCACTTCTTGCTCATAAATCATTAAGAAAGAGTCGATCAAGAACTCTTCTAAGTGAGCAGATACGTAAAGTTAGTAATGGTCGATTAAATAAAGGGATACCTACAATTATTGATGTTGAAGATGAAGAAAATGGTCATATCGATCAATTTAAGCCTGTTTTAATCAAGAAAGAAAGTCAAATGATGAGTCTTGATAGAGGCAAAAGGTATGGATCTTCAAGCAACGCATCAGGTTTGATTAAGCCTGCACCCTTGCCAATCCCGATTCGTGATTCACCACTTAGTACTACATCTAGCCAGGGTAATTTTTATTTAACACCACCAATAAATATTGCATCACCTCCAACAGAAAATCTACAAAAATCATCAGACGACATCACAGTTCCTTCACCTAAGTATAATAGTGGTAATTTATCGAAGCCATTGTCGACAATGCCAATACTTAGAAAGTCAAATAATATTCCACTTCCGCTTGGAAGAGTTTCTGGATCTCCACCAATGTATTCTCCATCACAGTTTAAACCTCCTGTTCAACCACCAATTCCAATCCCAATTCATACACAAAACAGGCCACAATCACCACTTCAACCTCAAACCTTATCGCCAAGATTATCACCATCAGTTCCTGAACCTATTGTTAAGCCAGAATCTGATTGTGAAGATGTGAATGATGAAATGCCAAATGGTTTTGCATTGCCAGATCCTGCATCAGTTCCAAAGGCACCAGAAACAGCTCAGAATCATTACACAGCATTAAAAAGAATGGCTATTCCTGTCTTCGATTAACCTCAAAGTGTTTAAAGTGATTAAATGACTTAAATCGCTCTTTTATTATAATTTATTATTATTATTCATTTTTAAAGTCATTTTTTCCTTTAATATCTTCTATCGATCACTCACCGACAGACTGGCGATTTCTTTGAAAAAAATGAATAAAAAAATGTTTACATAATAGATAAGTAGAAAATATAGATAATTTAAAATAACAATAAAACCAATATTAAACATTTTTTGAAGCATGATCTGCGATGAAACTATGAACCCAAAAACAATTTCCGATCGAAATTTGTATAAATATCTTCCGTATTATTAATGTATTCGAGAGCATCATCAATTTCATGAAACATTTGCTCGATAGTCAAGGATTTTGTTTCATTTTCTTCTTCAAAATCGCGTGATACATTGTTGAGTTTAGTCGATGATATATTTTCTGTTTTTTGAGGTTTGATAAACATCGGCTCTCTTTTGCCGAACATTTGTCTTGAATATACTTTTTTGATAATTTATTTGGTTGATGGAAATTCAGAACAAAATAACTTTTTCTGATGAATAACTTTCACACAGCATGTCAATGCCTGATGAAGTGATGATTTCACTATTAATGGCGCCAATAATCATAGAAAAAGTGGAATGACCAATAGTTCGGAAAATGTTTATTTGGAAGAAAATCCAAGGTCTTTTCGGATCATCTCAACCAGAAGCAGAACACCACCAAAGTCATCACAAGCATGTTCATCTCACCTCAGTTCAAAGAAAAGCACGAACACAAATCGAATTTTATTTCAGTCCCTCAAACATTCAAAGGGATTCGTACATGAAAGGTCTCATCGATGAAGGTGAAGACCGCTTTTGTCCGATTGCCCAGTTTTTCAAATTTAACAAAATCCAAGAATTAGGAATCTCAGAGGAAGATCTTTTAGTCGCCCTTTCATCGTCAAGGAAACTCGAAGTTGATGCCGAACGAAAATTAGTCAGAACAAAAGTGCCATTCAAAGCAGATCCGCGTATCGATTTCAGAACTTTGTTCATCGAAGGACTCGATAAAGAAGAAACTCAAGAATCTCTCCGCGAAATCTTCGAGAAACAGCTCGGCAAAGTTTGCTACATCGGAATGAAGAATATCATCGACAAGGCATCAAAAGGAAAGAAATTCTCAGGAAAAGTCGACGTCGAACTCGAATCAGAAGAAAAAGCAGCAGCAGCAGTCGAATCAGGTTTAGAATACAAAGGAAGGACGCTCGCTGTAAAACTCGTTGCAACCTGCAAATCAGATGCCAAGAAAGAGAAAAAGGCTGATGCTAAAATTCCAAAACCAAACTTCAAGCAGGGAAAACCAGCCAGAGAAGAAAAGAAGGCCGAAGAAAAAGTGGCTGAAAATGAGAAGCAAAGTGAAGAAGAAAAAACAGAAAAGAAATCGCCAAAGAAGCCAATCACACCAAGACGATCGCCAAGAAGTGCAAAGCCAAAGAAGTCTGAGTAATTTAATGAAATTAAAAGGGTTAGTAAATAGATTTGATATCAGTAACTTTCTTTCTTTTTGGTTTTATTCTTTCTTGATAATTCTTTCCTGTTGGTGGAACAGAAATATTTTTGTTAAAGTTGAATATGATTATAGAAGAATATGATGAAAGAAGAATATAATTAAAGAAGAATATGATTAAAGAAGAATATAATTAAAGAAGAATATGATTAAAGAAGAATAT